AACATTTTAGAAAAAAAAACACCTCACGGTGGGAAAAAAAAACTTTTCAACAAATTCTAAAATAGTCTACCATAAATAAACCAAGATGAAAAAAGCGAAAAAAAAGAAAGTAGCCATGACACACTATTATAGCCCGTGCCAGGCATAAAGATAAAAATAATTGCAACTAATTACTATATCTCGATTGTAAACCTTTAGTTTAGCTTTGGGACTCGTTCTGGACACCGACTCGACTCGGGTATCTCCTAAACAGGGGTGGTGATCTCTTCCACGTACCATAGCACCGTATCGATATTAGTGCCACAATAGCAATCCAAAGTCTAATACAATACATGATACTTAAAGGCTAAAATAATTTCAAAAGCCAATAGCTCTTATAATGTAGAAAAAATACAAAAAAAGAAAGCTGCCAAATTGTAGCTATATTAATTTATTACAACTTAACATTTTTATTTTTGAAATAATTTTTGATTTATAACATTTTAATATGGGTTGAGTTAATAAAAATCAAGCAAATATTTTTAATAAGCTTTTTTAAAACTTTAAACAAGGATAATTTTTAATCAAATTTTTTTTTAAATTAATTTTACAAGATGTAAAAATTATTTTAAAATTTATATATTAAAGTGGAATGTCTGTTTGGCAACATTGGCAAATCAGAAGGCTTCATTTGGATAATTCTCAAAATTACCAATTATATTGTTTAATTAATAGTACATGATTAATATATTAGCTAAAGTGTATATATATATACATCTATATATAGTATATTATATATCTTTAAATATCATTAATAAGCTAAGTTTAAAGCTAAATTTTAAATTATTCAAAAATTGTATTATTGTTATAGCTCTATAAAAGTGTATTATATAGCTAACAATCTTAGAATAAGAACTTTTATATTTACTATATTAATATAATTTTTATATTAAAAAAATTTAATATATAATATAAGGTGCAAATATTTTAATTATTGTAAATATAAAAATATATATATATGAATATATACAGTCGTGCTCCCATATAATCACTCAGTTTACCTAGCATTTTTTGGTGATTATATAGAGAGATGATTAAATAAAAATACTTCTATATAATCACATAATATAAAATAATTTATATAATGTGATTTTAAAAAGGTAATTAAAAAGTTTGAAATTTTTATTATTGTAAACTCTAAAAAATATTTAAAACCTCAATATAATGAAAGCCAATTTGTAAAAAATTCTTTCAATACAATTAATTTACCAATAAGGTTCTGATTTAATAAATTTTCTGTAATGTTTTATTTCTAAGTTTGTCAACACTGTAAAATTAAAAACATTCTCTGTGTTGAATAGCACGATTAGAATACAACTCAAACTACTATTCAAATTACCATTCAATACTATTACTTCGTGAATATACATGTCTGTAAAATCATATAATAGTGTTGAGTAGCAGTTTGAATGACAGTTTGAGTAGTATTTGAATCATGCCATTCAACTCATGAATTTTTTTCCTTAAATTCAGATAAATTCAAATGTTAGATTAGATTTTTACTTGGATTAGTCATAAACTTAAATAACAAACCTAAGAATATGCTAAAAAGCTAGCTTTATATATAGTTTGATGTAGATTTAATTCGGATCAAATAAATCTAGATTGTTTGTCAAAAATAGAATTGAACTATTTATCCTATTTAATTTCCAGTATACACTTTCCCAAAATACCATTTCTCTGACCTTATATTGCTATTTTCTGACAAGACATAAATATTTTCTTAAGTTCAAAATTGATATAATAAGGTGATTTATTAGTTTTCAAAAAGCTTCTATATTTTGTGAACCAATAATTTGCCTTCTGGTTGTACCAATACTGTTATAATAATATCAAGCATATTTCACATTGCCATTTTATCACACACATTAGCAGCTTGTTCATGGTATTTAAATGCTTTATATAGCTATCACTTTTTAATATTTGGGAAAAATAGTAATTTTGATATGATTAAATAATTAAATAATATGCAATTCAAGAAAATAAAATATTGAATTGTCTTATCAGTAAAAGTGGATTATCAGTAATATAACTTTGATGAAATAGTGCCGCGGGTTAATTAATGACTTATGCTACTAAATAACCTAGTCCAAACGGTGAGTACTTAATCACTTGGCTTATTCCAATTTCAAAGTTTATACTAAGACAAGTATTTTACTTATTATTAAAATGCGTTTTATTAATTAAAAGAAAGACTAATACTAATTTCAACTTCCCCTAACTATTACATTTGCTTTTTCATATATACATACATTAGATTACACTACTTATATCATAATTCATTCATATACGATCACACAATCATTTGACTCTTATATTACTAATAAATTACCTCATATTTCATGCATACTAGTTACCTTACTTCAATTGCATAATTGATCATTATTTGATCCCTTAATTTCTGATCAATTTATTGTTATATGTATCACATGTACAAGATAATGATTGATCGTTCGCTTTACCTTTATTCTCATACAAGTTTATCGCATACTATATATCACCATGACAATGGTATTTTAGAAAAATAAAATTCGTGAAGTTAAACTATAACTAGATAAGGTTAGTATAAAGATCCAAATTTTAGTTAGTATATAGTTGTTAGTATATGGTTTTTGCCAATTAAAATAATAAACTTAAATATTTATTTTGTATAAATAATTCCAAGATTTATTTAAATATTATATAAAAGACATTTACTAAAATCCACTCTAAAAAAGTTGCTTCAACTACATATTACTATAAAACCCATATAATATTAAACAATTACCGAATTAATAACTTTACTATTAATCTGCTAAATCAAATAAATACTAACAAGATACTTAAAATTTTAGAATGCTGATTTACTTCATAATAATTTTACATTATATAGTTATAGATATAGGAAGGCATGTAATTACCAGAATTTTGAAATCTTGAGGTAAAAATAATACGCTAAAAAACACAATCTTAAGAATTAAAATCAAGAAAGTTCAAAAAACCCAATAATCCGATTCTTATTATTGATAAACAACAGCCAACTAAACACTTAAATTTTCAAAAGAAAAAAAAAAAAACCTGTTACTTATAAACAGGTAAAAAAAAAAAAAAAAAACTAGTTACCAATTACAAACAAATAAAAAATTAGTAATTGGTTTTTGTTTCAGCGATTCAATGTGTTTTCTTTTCATTAATGATATCTTCTAAAAACTTTCAGATCTTTTATATTAAAATCACGGCTTTCTTGTTGCTTAAAAAAGTCAATAAATCTTTTTAGACCATTCAAGCCTTCTAAAGCAAGATTTTCAGGCAGTGGAACATCACTATCATTTGCATCACCCTCTTTAAACTCCCATTGTTTATCTAGCACAATGTTAACAATTTGCTCTTTATCAAGAATATCTTTAGTAGATATTTGAGAATTATTTTTGTCGTTAAATTCATTTAACTGATGTCCAATTGTTAGATCATCTGGCAGGTTCGTTGTTAAGTCTATAATTAACTTATCAACATCATCTTTTTCTACCTCTGTCAAGTCTTGAATGGCGAAAGTAGTATCATCAATCTCTGTATCTGATAATAGTGTAAGAATTCTTGTTTTTTTCCAACAATTTACTATAGTCATTTCTTCAACTTTATTCCATAATTCTGCAACATAATATATTGCATATTTGATATTTAATTTATTCCTGTACAAATAAAGTTGTATCAGTAAAATTTTAATTTTACAAAGATTAAAAATTAGAAATCAATATCGCAAGCCAACTATAAAAAAAAAAGTTTAATTCCACAATGCTAATGTAGAATTAGACTAGAGCATGAACTACAATTTTTTTAAATATGCAACTAGACCACTTATTATAAATGAAAATGTATATAGTGCAAGAAATTTAAAAACCTAAATACATTAAATTGTCAATCTAAATAGGGTAAGTGAGAAATTACTTTATTGAAGTTGATATTTGGTTTAATATACTACTTGATATACATTAACTCTATAAAAATTGCAGTTTTTAAATTTCTACTTGGTATAATCTGAATGTAAGCTTGATTCAAAAATTTCTAAATTATCAACTTCAACAAAGCTTAGAGGATATTTTGTCTCTATAAGAAATAATTGCGGTTTTTAGATTTCTTGTACCATATGTACTTTAAATTTTTCTTTCACAATATAATTAAAAATATAATTGACTTGGCTCTATTTATATAAATTAAATATTTATTGTATGTAGGGTCTTATGAATTTTATAAGAAAGGCAATATAAAATAAGTTAAAGTACAGAGGTATAATAAATACATAAATGTAGATAATTTCTAAACTATATACATACATACTATTTATAATATACATGTAATACATCATGTGTATATAAACTTTAGTATGTACAGTATACAGTATTTAATTTTTTTGTTAATCATTTCCTAACAGACTATTTATCTAATATTACAAATAATATTTACCTTCAAATGCTACTTTATATTGATGCCAGGTAAATAGCCTTTTGGGGAAATGAGCAACAACAATGTCAAACAAGTAATATTTTTCCTTACTTTCTAAAATCTTTGCCTCTTTCAAACTGATTTAAGACATGCTATATATACTTCTTTTTATACTTTGCTTTAAAGCTATTGATTATCCTAGCATTCATTGGTTGGAAGTGAGATATAGTTTTGGGAAATAAAATTTCAATTTGAATGTTTGTTAAATGAATATCGAAAGGATCAGGAATTCTGTAAGGACGACCAGTACCATGGTGACTTTTGCTATTTTGCCCATGTCCACAACCATGACCACACCCACAACCATGACTACAAAAAGAATTTCGCTCTTTTTGATTATTAACACTACTAGTATTACAAAGTAGATTGTAACACAGTGTTATAGTAGTATAGAATAGTTAGTCTATATTTGATTAACTATATTATTATATTATTAGTTATAAAGATATGATTGGCTAGTTATATTTGGTACAGTAATACTATACTTAGGATAGCATGAGTGCCTCCAAGTATCTCTGCATGAGTGCCTCCAAGTGCCTTTGCACAAGTACCTCCAAGTGCCTCTAAGTGCCTCTGTACACAAGTGCCTTTGAGTGCCTCTATATAGTGCCTCTTATATAGTTTAGCCATTACACCTCTTATGTGTAAAAAAGTTATAAAAAGAGAGTCTTTTGCCCCTTCTGCTCAAGTTAGAGTTCTCTATTCTCTCATAAAATCTAGCCTTACCTAACTACTCTTATTACCCTTCTTATATTTGTATAGTATAATATTCTCTCTTTAGGTTATCCCTATTGTAAAGGATATTACTGTGAACCTGTTATTAATAAATATTATTATCTCTATAAACTATTATTATCTTGAACCATTTGTCTCCTGCTATGAAGTAAAAATATATACTTCACGTCCATTCCATGTATATTCATAAAGTATATCACTGCACTGGGTGACCTTGTTACTTTGCTATAACAATACCAAGAAGGCTATAG